AGACATTTCCATGATTTTCACCGAACTGCTTGTGGATGAAGAAGAGTTCCTCTTTTCCCTTGGAGGAGAGGTATTTTCTCGTTTTCCCATATTTCTCATGATCCAATGGTGGTTTCTTGTCATCTGATGGATGATGTGTTTCTTTCAAATTCTTGAAGTTCAGCCTTAATGTTCAGGAGCAAGCAGGCAGATGTGATCTAGAATCTCTTTGCTGTTCTATTGTGATCGCTGGTGCAGCAGATTCAGTAGATAGTGGGGAATATTTTAACCCTATTAGTATTTGGATGTTTAGCTACAGTGCTCTTAGATCTGTCTAAAAACACATTGAAAGGATACTGGAGGGTGGAGAGACAAGAAAAAGGAAAATGAAACAGAGAAAAACAACAAAAAGAAAAAAAGACAAAAAAATAAAAAAATTTAAGAATTTGTAATTACTGTTCTTTTATAAAAAAAAAATCACAAAATTACAAAAAAAAAAAAAGGGAAGACAGAAGCAGGGAGAGACAGGAACCGAGAGACAGAGAGAAAAGGTGTAGCCATGTGGAACCTTCTCCTGAAGGCCCGTGGCTTCTTCTCTAAAGACTGCTTTTCTTTAAAATAAATAGATTATTCAGTTTCTTCCTCCTTTGAGAAGTTACTGTGCTGCTTACTTGCTGTTTTAAGTATACTCTATTATTGGAAACAAAGATTTGGGAAGTTGATATACTCAGATGGAAACCAGGGAATCTATAAAGTCCTAGCTTTCATGGAGATCTATGTGTCCTTGACCCAGGTTCCAAAAATGCTGGAACCTAGGGCAGCAGTCTACATAGGTTATTGTCTGATGGAACCCAGTTAAGACTCTGAGAGAGCAGCTAAATTGTGCATAACCACTCTGTTAAGAAAAATACCACTGTCTAGATTCCTTTTTGTTTCCAAAGAATTATTTTATTTAACTTCCTTCCTTCCTTCCTTTCTTATTTGACCAGAGAGTAACAGAATGTGAGAGAAAGCGAGAGAGAAAGTGAGAAAGCAAGCCATCAGGTCCAGGACTCAAACCATGGTTGGCCATCTTGGAGTCCAGTACCCTTAACCACCACGCCACCTGCTGGCCCCACTGTCTAGATTCTTGATAACTGGAATTCCTTTTCTTTTTTTTTAAGAGATATTTTTGCTGGGCCGGCAGGTGGTGTGGTGGTTAAGGGCTCTGGACTCCCATATGGCTGACTGCAGTTTGAGTCCCAGACCTGGCAGCTTGCTTCATCACTTTATCTCTCTCTTTCACACTCTGTCCCTCTCTGGTTAAAATAAATAAAGTTAAATAAAATAATTAAAAAATAAAAAAAGATCTGCAGGTCGGAAGCCCTAAAAAAAAAAAAAAAAAAAGAAGAAAAAAATATATTTTTGCTATAGGGCACATGCGTTAACTGGAGAAAGTAAGAGGTACAAATCTAGAAATCATCTCCCAGGGGGATGGCCACACTGCAATCCCATCTCCTCCATTCCCCTCTAAAGATCTTGGACATGAATGTACATGCGCCCAGTATGTTTTAAGCCACCAGATCCAGGACTCGAACCGCAATTGACTATGTGGGAGTCCAGCGTAACCATTATACCATCTGCTCGTCCTGATAGTGGGGATTTCTAAGCTGTGACTTGTCTTGTTTGTGGAAGTGTGCCTCTTCTACTGCTCATTAGGGCTGTTACTCAGTCCTTTGAAGAGGTGATTTGTTTTTATTACTCTGCACTGCTTGGGGTGTCTTGGGGGGGCACCAGCCTCCGAAGGCAGCATATCTGAGGTTAAAATGGAAGAGATTTTCCAGACTTAAAACTCCTAATAAATACTATTCTGTGCTTTTGGCCTTCAGAGTTATAAATCACTGTTTTTTCAGAAGGCCACAGCTTCAGTCAGTAATTATTTGAATGACTATAAGTAAATACACAGATCATCTAGGTGGTATGTCTGAAGAAAGTCTCTCCCTTCAAGTAATTGCAGTCTAGTTGGGAGAAAGAACATATACAATAAATGACTCATGAAGTTCATAACCATCTTGGTTAGCTCGCTGATGCTCAGTCCTGGGACTTGAGCGTGCATGCCTGTGGCCATATGCAGAGTCTTTTTACTCTGAGGTAATGGATTCACTGACCTCTCTCTGAATATAACCCCACATCTTTGCAACCTTCATTGACAGTTACTCTTTTTTTTTTTTTAATCTGTTAAGGGTGTGTATGTTTGCCAGAGAGACAGAGAGAGAGAGAGAGAGAGAGAGATTGTGAGAGAGACAGTGAGAGGGAAAGCAAAAAAGCTCCCCCCGCCCTGGAGTGTTGACAACCCTTAATTCGTTCTCTGTTCTCCTATTCGTTCTCTGTTCTCCTATCAGGATTTTGTGTGTGCTCACACGTGCCTGGTGTGTTTTTCAAGCTGCTGGGTCTAGGACTCACACTGTGCAATCAGCCATGTGGGATCCAGGTGCCTTAGCCACTGTGCCACCTGGCTGGCCCAAAAGTTACTCTTAAAACGTACATTCTTGGTCCAGCCAGTAGCATAGTGATTAAAGTGACTGGATCCCACATGCTCTATTACATGGTTCGAGTCCAAGACCTGGTGACTTGAAAAACACACCGAGGCTGTGTGCCTATCCCAAAATCCTGAAAGAAGAAATGGAGGACTAAGGAACTTAGGGTCTAAAACCCTCTCTCCTTACATATCAGTGTCAGCTTAGATGCTACAGCTCAAATTTCAGCCACTGTTTACTCAGCATCCACAGTTTTCTTAGTCATCCCCAGCTTCTGGAAGAATTTCAAGCCTGGGTAGGATCAGCTGCCTGTTTTGTTCCTACTTGTGCCAAGGCCACTGAATTCCTAGAGAAAACCAAGTAGCAGTCACTGGAAATTCATGATGCCAGCTATCAGCTTTGCCCACCCATCCTGCTGTTTCCTCTGCTCTCTCCCATTCTCCACATTGGCCATTTCAGACATTCTTAGTGTTCCTTAAACCTCTGATCTTTTTTATACCCTATTCATCTCAATAATTGACCCTGCTTCTGGCAACACAGAGAATACAACTCCTTTTGCTTCCAGCCCTCAAACCTTTAGGCTAAATTCTACCTAAATCATGGATCCTGTTTTCTTAGAGACCAAAGAAGATAGAGACTGAAGATAGGGATATTTAGGGGAAAGATGTTTTTATTATCAATGGATTTTTTTAAAACTGCAAAAAGGCAGGGTTAATTCTTAGCCTCCAGTATATATTTTTTAGAATATTTTATTTTATTTTATTTATTTATTATTTTTATTTTTATTTGACCAGAGAGAGAGAGAGAGGCAAAGTGAGAAAGCAGGCCTTCAGGTCAAGGTCACAAACTCTGGTCAGCCATGTGGGACTCCAGTGCCTTAACCACCATACCACATACTGGCCCCAGAGCCTTAGGTATTAAAATGATTATGTCTTTGACAGCAAAAGAGAACATTAAGATGGGTGTGGTGATGTAATTCATTTCAACAGCTTTGAATTTTCCAGCAGTTCCTGTGGCACCATGCCTCTGTAAGCTTTGTTTGTTTGCTAGTCAACCTAGTTCCACCAACAGTTTCTGTGGGTTAATGATAGGGCACCCGTCCTTAAACTAGAAAAATAATCTCCCTCTCTGCAGCCTCTGAGCACATGACATTATTTGTATTTTGTACAAAAGCATCATTTTTGTTTCTTTATCTGTCACTAAGCCTTTATAATAATTTCTGCTGTTGCAAATGTGTGAGGCTGCCAAAAAGGAGTATTTGTGTGGAATGTAAGAATAGCCCATTTCCCCTTCAGAGAATGAAGAACAGGGTAGGAAACTGGGTGTGTAAAGGCAAATCTTTTCCCCCCAATTTTAGCTTTATTTCATTATCTTTAAATAAATGACATTCTTTAACTTATAAGTTGATACGGACAAAAGCTGGCATATAAAAGGCATAGAAATGCTGGTACGCAGGACCAGCAGATGGCATAGTGGTTACATTGCTGGACTCCCAGATGCCTGACTGCGGTTCGAGTATCAGACCCAGTGGCTTGAAAATCAAGCCAGGTATGTGTGCCTGTGTGCCCAAGATCCCAGGGAGAGAATGCAGAAGAAGGGATGGCCACCCCTGCGCCCCCCCTAGTGGGGGTGATTTGTCACTTTCCCTCTTTCTATGTTTGTCTCTCTTTCTCTCTCCCCAGCTAGCTCAAATGCCCTAAAGCAAAAAACCTCTTTAAAAAAAAAAAAGAAAGAAACTTAATCCAAATCAAATAGCATAACAATTTATGAATTGTATTTTTATATTTTAGGAACCCTGATTGCTGTTCTTCAACATATTCATTATGAAGTTTTTAGTAATACTTTTGTTTTCTGGATTTATAACTGACTGTAGAGGTAACTCTTCCTCTGTTTTACCACCCAAGTTACTGCTGGTGTCCTTTGATGGTTTCAGAGCTGACTATCTACAGAACTATGAATTTCCTCATCTCCAGAATTTCATCAAGGAAGGTGTCTTAGTAGAACATGTTAAAAATGTTTTCATCACAAAAACATTTCCAAACCACTACAGTATTGTGACAGGCTTGTATGAAGAAAGCCATGGCATTGTGGCTAACTCCATGTATGATGCAGCCACAAAGAAACATTTTTCCGACTTCAATGACAAAGATCCTTTTTGGTGGAATGAGGCAGTTCCTATTTGGGTGACCAATCAACTTCAGGAAAACAGATCAAGTGCAGCCGCTATGTGGCCTGGTACTGATGTACTCATTCATAACACCACGCCTTCCTATTTTATGAATTATAGCCCCTCAGTGTCATTTCGGGAGAGACTAAATAATGTTACCATGTGGCTGAATAATTCTAGCCCCCCAGTCACCTTTGCAACACTCTATTGGGAAGAACCAGATGCAAGTGGCCACAAATATGGACCCGAAGATAAAGAAAACATGAGCAGAGTGTTGCGAGAAATTGATGACCATGTTGGTGACCTGGTCCAAAGACTCAAGATGTTAGGGTTGTGGGAGAATCTTAATGTCATCATTACAAGTGATCATGGGATGGCGCAGTGTTCCCAGAGCAGAGTGATAAACTTGGGCCGCTGTCTGGATCCTTCTGCCTACACCATTATAGATTTGACTCCAATTGCTGCAATACTTCCCAAAATAAGTAAGTGACCTTTTAGCCAAAAATACTACTCTTTGAATGGGGCATTTGATTGAGGAGGGAGGGTTCTATGAAAGAATAAAGCTCTGACTATTTGTAGTTCAGAACAATATAGTGATCCTTATTCAGAGCGTGATTACATGTTTCCCTCCTAGCTTATAAATTTTAAGCAGTTGGCTTATGGTTGAAGTTCAAAGTAATTATTTCTTTGCTTTTTGATGTATTTTCTGAATTAGTTGCACTAATGGAAAAGGAATTTTTGTCCTAAGAATCTTGGATTCTAGTATGAGATGTACCTTCTACTGGTTGTACAATTAATCATTAGTAGTAGTATGTTATTAGTTTATGTTTACTTAGGAAGTTGGGCATGAAAATTGTCCTCTTTCTATGGAAGTTCATTAGAGTAATCCACGCAATGAAAAAAAGATGCATGAATGCATGTAAAACATGTGTGCCTATGTATGTATCAGCCTCCAACATTATCACATAATTATTACTGCTTTTTTTTTTAAAGATTTATGTGATATGGACCAGCTGATGGCATGGTGGTTAAGACAACGATCCCACATGACCAACTGCATGGCTAATGTCCTGGAAAACATGCCAGGCATGTGTGCATGCATGCCCCAAATCCTGAGAGGACAGTGGAGGAGGAGAGATTTGGTGTGTCCATCCCCCCAAGGAGATCATTCCCTTCCACCACTATTTCTCTTATAACAAAACTAAAATGACAATAAGAATAAGTGATTTAATAGATGAATTTGTCTAGAATTTATTTCCAGTTATTCTTGCAAGAATAATGTTTTTTTCCATACCAGTTAGCCATGACTTTTTCTTCAGTTAGCCTTCTTTTTTTCTTTTAGATATAACAATGGTTTATAACAAACTGAAAATGTGTGACCCTCACCTTAATGTATATCTCAGAGAAGATATTCCTGAAAGATTTTATTACCGACATAATGATCGTATTCAGCCTATTATTTTGGTTGCTGATGAAGGCTGGACAATTGTGCTAAATGAATCATCACCCAAATGTAAGTATGTATTTACAGTTCTTCTGTCTAAGGGACAAATTATACATTATGACATTGTTCTGTTTAGAGGGTACTTTGATTTAGAATGTTCACACAGTATAATTAGTTTGATTTTCAACTAGACAATTCTCAAGTCTTCATTTGATAGCAATTTACATTAACCACAATTTCACCCTTCAATTATAAAGGTGGATAACCTTAAGGGTCAAAGCATAGTTTTACTTTCTTACCAAAACTGCACTTGCTGTCAATAATGATCAAGATTGGATCTCTTGATTTGTGGAAAGTAAGAGAAGAAACAAAGAAAATAAAGCAAAGACAAAGAAAGAAACAGTAATGAGAAAGGCTAGTCAGTTCAAAGTTCTTTGTCTTATGTGTGTGAAAAAAATTTGTCCAAGTAACCTAAGTTTTTTCCCAATGACGAAATCATCTACCTGAATGCCACAGCTACTTAGAATATACTGGGCAAGAAGCAGAAAGTAAATAGACAAAAAACTACCAAGTAAGCTAAATAGATGAAGTAAAAATCTCTCTTTTTTTTTTGAAAAGTAATTAATTAATTTGTTTTAATTTATTTTGATTGAATGCACAAAAGCTCTCTTAAAACTGAGAAAAATATATAGGGGAAAGCTATAGGTCTTGCCTCAACTGAAGCCCTTTGTCCATATTTTACATTCAGTTTCAATACCGTATACTTTAAAAAAAAATCTGGTTTTTGTAGTCTGTAGTAGATGGTCAGCAGACTTTTTCTGTAAAGAGTTAAATAGTAAATACTTCAGGCTTTGGAGCTAGCTACTCAGCTCTGCTTTATAATATGAAAACAATCATAAACAATATGTAAACAAATTGAAAAGGTGTGTTCCAGGGAAACTTTGTTTACAAAAAAACAGATGGAGGGACCAATTTGGCCATGTGTTTGCAGCCATGTCTGATCTGCGACCATTCAGAAACATCAGGCAAAGATAAGAGACACTCAGGGTCAATGGAGTTTGTTTATTACACGTACCAATGTTAGGCAATCTTTGTCGAAACTCTGGAAAATACAGAAAAGCATGGAAAAGATAACAAAAACTGTAATCCCTCGATACAGAAATATAGATAAATGGTAATTGTGAGAGTATTTCCCATTTCTAATCTTTTTTATTACATATACATGCGTATTTTAATATTATTGAAACCATGTATCTATACATATCGCTTTATTCTACTTTTTGTCATATTGGTCACATTCATTATTTTTAGTATGAAATATTTCAAATTTACTATTCATTAAAGAATAATACAATAAACGTTGCCATATTTATCAGTCACTTCACTTAATATGAAATTGGGAGCTTATTAAATGCACCAACTACACATTAAAAGGTAATTTTTTAAAAATAAGGCTAAAAATTGGGAATCTGACATTGAATGATATAAGAGGCCCTTCCATCCTTGTTGTAAGTCAGTCATTTACTGGAGTTACACGTTAGAATCATCTGGTTAGATTTCATATTTACTACAGGAATCTCTTCTGTAACATTCTCAATTATCTGGCCTTTCTGATGTTGGGGTGTGTCTTACAGTAACTGTCAGTAAACCAGTAGAGCGTTATATCATTCTGTTTGTTATCACAGGAGCAACTGAAATAGGGCTGCAGATTCACTTCTTCCCTGTTCATTGGACTTACTCACTTCCGCTCCCTGAGTTATAGAGGGTCCTCAGCCTGACTGCTCTCCCCATCACTGGTGTATTGCAAACAGGGCTGGAGGTGGACATGGGAAGTGGGGCTAACGTCTGAAAGATCAGGTTAAAGTCTCAGACCATGATGGATTAAGAAAAGTGCTGTGTGTGAGATAGGAGACAAGGATTGGCACAGCCTTGTCATATACCAGCAAGAACCTAATGTGTATGCAACAGAGACTAGTTTGTTTGTAAGAGAAACACAGATCTTATTTGCTAACATCATTTTGTTCTTTTTCAGTAGGTGACCATGGTTATGACAATTCCTTGCCCAGTATGCATCCGTTTCTAGCTGCCCACGGACCTGCGTTTCACAAAGGGTACAAGCACAGCACGATTAACAGTGTGGACATTTATCCAATGATGTGCCATATCCTAGGATTAAAACCACAGCCCAATAATGGGACTTTTGGTCATACTAAATGCCTGTTGGTTGACCAGTGGTGCATTAACCTTCCCGAAGCCATCGGGATTGTTATTGGTGCACTCTTGATACTAACTACTCTCACATGCCTCATAATTATCCTGCAGAATAGACTGTCTGTGCCCCGTCCATTTTCTCGACTTCAGCTACAAGAAGAAGATGATGATCCTTTAATTGGGTAACATATGCTGGGGTTTATGCAAAGCATCTCTGATTAGTCACAAAACTAAAGATACATCCGAGGAATAGTGTTATAACTATGAAAAAAGTATACTTTGAAAGACAAAGAACTTGGGCCAAGATTGCTAAAATTATTTTGTTTTTTCTTCCATTTTATTTTGGTGCATTTCCTAATAACATAACTCTGACCATAGTAAAATTGATAGTCAGTTATTATTAGTTAGCATTATTGTTTTTCTAACAAGAAATAGCATTTGAGAAAAATAACCCCTTTGACATTTTTGTTTTTATAGTGAAGATGTGATACATCTTTAAATGAAAATATACCAAAATTGAGTAGGCATCCTTTTCTAATAAATTTATATATTTGTAAATGAAACAACAGAACACTTTATGCAATTCATGAATTTTGTGTATCAGGGAGGAATCATTTTCTATATTTTTGTATTTATCTTAAATTAGTTTGTATCTCAAGTAACTTCTTGAGGTAGGAAATTATCTGTGATGGTTAATAAAATGGTTAACCAAGCAGAGAAGATTTAGTGTATGAAGGAATTATTTGAAGGAGTTATTAAAAAAAAAATAGCAACCTAGTCCATGTGATACAAAGCCTGAATGGTTAGTTACCATATGTCTTAAGCTGTTGAGGTCTTAAAGGTTTTACCTTTTGAATAGTATTGCAAATAAGACATTTAGAAGAAAATAGAGAAAAGTGCTTTTCTCTATCTGTGCTTAATGCCTCTGTGTAAGTTATGGGGTTGTTTATATGTGCCCGGGTGCAAGTGTGTTTGTGTGTGTGGGTGCACAGGTGTCCTATGACAGGATGTCAGAGGTGGACTGTAGTCAGGCTTCCACATCCCTAGAGAACACAGCTCTCGGGAAAGGTTATTTTTGCACTTCATATTTGTTTACTTTCTTCTAACTTACAAGTTAAAATTATACTATTAAAAATTCATTTAATTTTTATTATTTAACTTTCTTATGTAGTAACCTAAAGTATTTATGTGCTATGGAAAAACTTATGACCTGAATACAAATCTAACTTTGATTGGGTCAAAATGAGAAAGGGAGATTTTTATACTTATCTTTGGGACTTTATGCCTTACTTTTTAGGCTGTAGTTAAATTTAAAACGGAATTTATTATTTTCTTTTACACCATCTGTGTGTCACGTGGCAGAGTAGCCTTTGTGCTGCTGCTGCTTTTATTCTGCAGTATTTGGATCACAGAAATAATCACTCTGCTTTTATCTTTAACATATTTGTTTAAAATGATGGATTGTGAAGAATCATCATTCTACTTTTGCTAAGTGATACCTTCTAATAATCAAAATGAATATGAAGAAACCAAGTTGTGGCAGACTAGATTGTATGTATTAGGGGAAAAAATTGGGCTCAAGAACCATCAGTCCTGGGCCAACCAAGTGGTTAAGGCGGCATGATGGTTAAGGCAGATAGATCCCCACATGGCCAATTTTACGGTTCAAGTCCTGAACCTGGTGGCTTGAAAAACACACGGCGCACATGATTATGCCTGTCCAAAATCCTGAAAGGAAAATGGCAGAGAAACGACTATGGCATGGCCATCCCCCAGGGGTAGTTTCTCACATATTTTCTTTCTTACTCTGTCTCCCTCTAGCAAGCAAGCACATGTGTGCTATAGCAAAAAAAAAAAAAACTTTAAAAAAAAAAAAAAAAACTATTCTCAGGACCTGAGACAAGGAACTAATATTAATAATGTGACCTTTAAAAATTTATAGTATAAAATAAACTTAATATGGGACCGACAGGTAGCATAGTAGTTAAGGACACTGGATTTCCACATGGCCGACGGCGATTTGAGTCCTGGAGCTGGAGGCTTGCTTTCTTACTTTCTCTCTCTCTCACTCTGTCCCTCTCTGGTCAAATTAAAATAAATAAATAAATAAAGTTAAATAAAATAATTCTTTAAAAATAAACTTAATAAACTGTTTTCAAGATATAAAAGTAATCTACAATGAACATGCAGCCCAGAATGCTGACTTCTCCGTGACAGCAAGAACACCCGTGCTGCCGGCCAGCAAACGTCATGCATCTTATTGGGTCGCTGCTCATTTCTTGAGCCTGGTATTTAGTGCCTGTTAAAATGGGGTTCCTGCCTAA